TCGTGCAACAGCGAGGCTGCTGCGTGGCCCTACCACCGTTAAGTTTTAACATACGTTAATATTGTCTGATAAAGTGGAAATTCGTTCTGTAAATTTATTGTTTATATGTTTGTTGAAAAACAGACCGTGATTATACATTAATATATTAATTAAGGGTTGGACGGAAACTAAGAGGAAGAAAGGATATGAAAACAAATACATTGTGCTTTATTTAAATTTACAAGTACACATGTAAACTTAATTATTCTTGTACCTTTCTGCAATAAGAAGAGATTTCTAAACGACTTTTCATCCAGGCACCTGACGCTGCTGCAAAAACCCGTCTAGACGAGGGGTACTAAACATTGCTCTTATAGGCCTGCCAATGCACATTTGCAATGTGGAGCGCGATATTAAAGTTATTGTCAACCTTATTACCCACCCGGAGGGATAGGCTATTGAAACAGGTTTAATAAACGTGGGTTTTTTATACATTATTGCGCGGAAGGGCTGAAGATCCTATTACCAATGCATTGACAATCATTGTATTCAGCACTAGCGTTCATTTATCACGAGCAGCAATGCTAAGCGCAAAAAGGTTAATTATGTTTACTGTATTTTACTTTAAAAGTGATTATAGTATATCATACTGGACATGCTTTGGAATACTATTAATTTTTATTTATAAATGAGAAAAACATTTGTACGATTTGTATTGTGCCTTTAACATTTTAGATCTACAAAAAAACATAATAGTTAGGAATCAATTATAACAGGAATCTATCGAATTTCACATTCTGTTTATACTATCCATACACGGTTCGGATAAGATGTTAAATATCGTATGCTCGTGTAGTAAATATTTTACGGAAGGAAAAATAAAGAGCTTCTATGCCACAGCCAATTTACATAGATAATTTTGTTAAGAATTACGTTTTTCCTTTTCATTTGGTTGTAGATATTACAAGAAAGAAGTATGTAAAAACAGAAACGTAGACGCGTAAACTTTCAGGCGACGTGGAATATCCAAGAATATTATATTACTTTTAAAGAAACGAGATTTAAGGATACGAGTCTTTTAAATTTGGTTTATTTTATATGTTTTCATTTAAAAAGAAACATACTAAGCAACTACACAATTTTACATGAAATAGATTATTAATATTACGGAAAGGTTCATCCATAAGGCCGTTCTCCTCTAATTCTACATATATCTAAATTTGGAACCGGCACGTGATTAAGTATAACGTTCATAACAGTTTAAATTAATTATTGTCGTCAAATGTAAAATGAGACAGTTCTCACATTTAATTTTTTACCATAATGCGAGTAATCAATTTAATGGCAAAGTACGCTAATTCCGGCTTCAATACCTATGTTGTATCGGTATCCTAAACCGTTGGGGTTTTCGGTATTATTCTATCGTCTAGACAAGGAAGGCGCGCGCGTCCCTCAAGGGATGGGTAGCCGGCCGCAAATTGTGTTAGCGCTACGCAATCGGAGCGTGGCGGGTTCGGAAGCGCTTTGTGCGCTTGTTCGAAGCTGATAAATATAGCCTCACATTCATCTCATATGCAACTGGTTCATCCAACGAATGTCCTAATAGAATCATCCAAATGAACACGCCTGTCGCTCAGTGTAACCGTTTGCTGAGACTGCAAGGATGTCTTCTTTTCTCAAGATGTAGATTTTTTATTGGTATCGTGTAAATCTTCAAAACTTACCGTCTTCTTCCAACTTTTCTCTTCATAAGATCCTTTAGGATAACAAGTAGCCGAATTGGTCCAGCCAATTTCGAATTTTTCGCAGCAATACATTTAGATATTTATTTTTATTCATTTAATAGTCTCGGGTATATAAACATCGTGGTACAATAGACGACATGCGATGTTTCATGCGAAATATGTTCGTTATTGCTAACGAATTCCTATCGCGACGGAATTTAGCGATAGTCCACCGCAAACGGACGCCACTGTTATAATGTTATTGATAATACGCAGCTGTTAGTAATGTGTTTTCCATTTTTGTAATGCTCATAATCAATTTAAACTGTAATTTTATTCAAATACAAGTTTGGTTGTCGTTAAACTATTTCTATTTAATTGGTAATTAAATACACCTGCTCCATGGGTTTAGTCGGAACAAAGACCGAACCTGCGCTTACTTAAACCGTTCTCCGTGTAATATTTAATGTTACGAGTTGACTAATTATCCACTAAAGTATACGTTGTTACAAATCACAAGATTATCCAATGTTTACTATTAAAACAATATTATAATGTTTACTATTAAAACTATGATCGTATATACCAAATGCACCATCGAGTTGTCAAAGCATTTTGTAATGGTCAACTTTTTTCACCTTATCCGATAAAAATAAAAAAAGCTCGAAATTTATCCTCGACTTCATACATACATTAATTTATTCTTTATCTGTTGTACGACTGAGACTTCCACTTGACCGGGCGATACATCTTTTTTTATTTGTGTTTCTCGTTACTAGCTGGAGCAATTGTTTTTGTGTCCACGGAGTTCCGTGGAACTTTGTCTATGTTATACCATCGAGTGCGTGCAGGTGTATGCACGTAATGAGCCTTTATATTGTTCATCGTTATCCAAAAGATTGGGCGTGGATACGCTCGGGATATTTAGGAGGATACAATGGAAATTTAAAAGTTATAACTACATATTATCAACATTTCCGGTTCATTATAAGTAGGGTGGTTACCGGATTTTTTTAATTAACATTGGCACTTTAATGAATAAAGTACTTTTTTGGTGTAAATGTACAATTATTTTATGGAATATATGTGAAGACAAAACGTTAAAGATTAAAATTTCTTTTGAGCGTGCGTTTACTGTTTTTGATACTAGCTCCATTCATCGTCTCGGTACGGAACATGACTAAGTTTAAAATATACCTTTTAATGAACAACCGAGAAAAAACATAAATGAAGGAGTAAAAATGGTTCCTTTTAATAATTATGAGTGTAATGTGTTGTGTGTATGTACCTCATACTACATCATTTAGGGTACGAGTTCCAGAAATATCTGAGTTTTTTTTAAATAATTTTTTTATAAGTTTAAGATGCTTGTGATTTAAAAATAACAGTTTGACATTAATTCTCTGTTTCAATTAGTTTTTATTAACTAGGATTCTTCAATGCCTGTCTGCTCGTCACATATTTTGGAATCTAACTTAATTTCCTATGACCAAGCAATTTAAACTTTCAACTGCATCTCAGAAATGGTTCCAGTGCTATATTATCTCAGTTTCTTTAAATCTGTTAGGCTTTCATATGGATCCTTTTACTAACTATTCTGTTATTTGTTTCTCAGTTTGTAAAAACGTATTATTTTAAAATTGGCTTTTCCTTGATTAATATGTTGTAATAAGTTGACAACTGAGCAGCGGTTCACCTGATAATTGAATATCGCCGCCGAGGGACATCTACATCAAACCTGTGTGGGCCCAGGTTAAACCTAATTAAACGGTTCCCCAAACGAAAAGTGAAAGGATAAAACTTCCGCTTCAAGTTCTACTGCTAGGCCGTGGTTCTTCCCCGGATGAGCTTATAAGCTCACATGTTATGATTATACGACGAGATATAATTCTTAATCACCTGTCAATTTTCATTCCACAACCTTATAAAGTAACTTATATTACTATATTTACAAGTCCTCTCTTTAGATTTATTTTCCTAGACAGTTCATACAATTAATGATCATTAAAATAGTAGAGATTAAAAAACCAACCTGTAAGATTGCGTCGGTTTAATCGACCGGAATAACGCCCGTCAAGCGCAGCCAAAGCTCTTTCTTTCATTGCCTTTAATGTGACTGTAGCTTTTGCCCGTGCACGTGGTTCTATGACTGTTGGAAAGCTGAACGCGATTTCCATTCTAATGGCGAGCACGACGCAGCTTTGTGGTTCACCTTGTCGCCACTGCGGCCATGTCTGCGTAGTGCGTCGTATTTTCCTGCTCATATGATATTCTCACATAAAAAACAATGGGCCTGCAGTTCACCTGATGTTTCTGATAACCGCCGCTCATGGACATTTGCAACTGAAATTAGACGTAGACCAGACGAAACGCAGAAGTATAACATTTCCAATTCACGCCGGTGTTCTGTGCGGTCGTGATACTTCCTGGACGAGCCTGCATATTCTTGCAAAAGCCAAAGCTGCCCCGTGAAACTACCACAATTATTATAAATAACTGTCTTTAACGCCCATAGCGACACCTAAGGAATTAAGAATGCGCTAATACGGATCGGATTAATGTCCCTTTGCGTTGCTTTAACGGTACTCGTTATAACTTACCACAATTATTTTATTTTATTTTTTATTTGTGAACCGCTTGCTGATTCGACATCATTTATAAAAAATACACGAGATTATTGCCAGAGTCCATTAGTGGTGGAACATTTGCACTTAAAAATATGCTGACTAATAATATTGACTAATGCTGAAACGCTATTCCATATAAATGCCGCCCAATATTACTGGGTCGCAAAACATGATTCGCCTGTTAGAGATATAAACTGTAGAACGATGTGTGTGTGTAATCTAGAACAATGTTGAGTTTTATCCTGTAACTGAATTATGTTTTAAATTTGTTACAGTAAATCCTGATTTGTTTCATATTTAACTACACTAGCCATAACTATAAGGAACTTGTAATTAAAGAGCATCAGATATGTGATAATAGTAAATGTATATTGTAATATTGTATAATTCTATTGATTTATTTCATCATATGTAACACAAAATTAATAAAAATCAATTTCATTGAATGTTATCGACTCCATTACTTTACCACTTGCGTCCTACATTTGAACCGTACTACTGTTTGCACGGACCTAAAAAATATGAACTCTCCGATATTCGAAACTCATCGACCCATATTTAGAGGACCTGCTCTGTGTATCTCGTTATGAAAGCAACATATTAAAATATTATTTTAGATTACTAAAGGTTAGATTTGTAGAGCCATGCAGCAGCCTCGGCTGTGGCACGAATGGGCAGGCCTTTCCGGGTAAGTACCACGACCTCACAGAAGACCGGCGTAAAGTGGAAGTATAATACTTTCGCGTTTCGTCTGGTGAGTGAGGTGGCTGGAGGCCAATTTTCTAAAGGTTGCCAACGCATCTGGAACCCTCGGGTGTAGCAGATGTCCATGGGTGGCGATTTTCACTTAACATCAGGTGAACCCTTTGCTCGTTTGGCAACTTTTCACATAAAAAAAATACTAAAGGTTGTATAAATTGTGTTAGTTTTATCACTGTCATAAAATGAACACATTTTGAATGGGCAGGCTCATCCGGGGAGGTACCACTGGACTACTACTACCAGAAGACCAGCGTGAAGTGGAAGTGTTATACTTTCGCGTTTCGTCTGGTGAGTGAGGTAACCGGGGCCCACTTTTATAACAGGTTGTCAACGCATCTTCAACTCGCTCTGGTGTTGCATATGCCCATGGGCGATGGCGCGATGAACCGCCTGTTCGGTTGCCAACTTATAACAAAAAAAACTTTAGATTACTGATAACACTAGTTTGTATCCGTATGTACTTTTATTCACGCCAAACATCTTTTGCAGCAACTCAAAGATGAGCTTGGCGAGGTGGTCGCTGAGCTCGAGGCTCTGGACGGCCAGGAGGAGTGCAAACAGAACAGTAAAGCCAAACAGATGAGTATAGGCAGAAAGAAGTTTAACATGGACCCGAAGAAAGGTAGGTCTCTTTCAACTGACGATCGTTTCAGACACTTGAATCGCTATTTATATATTTAAAGAATATTTACACAATTTATTATGAAATTCGTTTCCAATCTCCATTCATATTTTAACGCATTTTTCCATCATTAATTTATAACAAATAAACAACGACGCTAATAAAAATACTTAATTGTCTTGCAATTTATACACAGAAAACTGATGTTTGCTATGTATCGATATGAATTCATTTGTTTTGCAGTAAATAATATAATAGAAGAAATATTACTTATGTTACTCTTATATGCATTTCAATGCGAATTGGCCTTTATTCAAGGGTCTATTCAAGTCGTTGAAACTCTCCTTTTCATGAGTTCTACTAAACTACTGACTGAAAGTTTAACGTCTTTTATCTAAAGTACACAAGTGCCTGCCTACCATTGTAACGCTATAAATAAATATGTAAAAACTTACAGAAAAATGTTTACTACCATTTTGCTCGTTAATCAAGTTCTCATGATATTTTATAACTTAATCGTAATCATTGTAAATTTGATGTCTTCGAAGGACATGGAAACTCATCTTAATCGCTTACACATAGGAAGCCTTACAAACAACAAATGCGACACTCCACTTTCCAAGTCCGTAGAAATCCTAGTTGCTTTTCATCAATTAAAAAACTTGTTGATGCCATACTGAGTAAACTTCTTCGTTGAGATGATACGACAGGTGTGGCATTCCCACGGTCTCAGTTAGGGTCACCACATATTAATGATAAGGTTGGAGTGTTTCTTTTCCTGGTAAAACTACATGTGTCCAATATGTTGTATAATTAACAGACATCGTGTTATATACTCTTATTTAGGTCTAAAAGAGAATTCCCAAAGTGCACAATAATTACATCTTATGTCTTTTCATGTTAAAGTTACTACTATATTTTAAGATAGGGTCCAACTTAATATGTGAGATAAACTTATAATATACCTGCGCATTATTTACAAAGCTATTAGTTGTTAATTGTAAAACAATATTAAAATTTTAATTTATCCTCGTTTAATTGGTTTTTATTTGGTATCTATATTTATGACTGACGACTCCACAAAACGGCAAATACGTCTAACCGACAATATTGCAACTGCTTCTTCTTAAACCACTGTTACGATTAAAAAGATATTATTTATTACTTATGCTCACGTTTGGACAATATTTTTTAATTTAATTAGTTTTCTGTTATTAGAGTAATGTTTGCTAAGCTTTGATGTACTTTATATATCACAAATACATTCAAGAAACAAACAATTTTCTATACGTGGAAATGATGACATGACATTGGTAATGTCATAAAAATTCAATAAAAAGCTATATGTGCGGTACAAAATTGCTTAACCATGACGAACTACTCAAAACATAAATAAATACATTGTGATATTATGTATACCTCAACAATGTTCCGTCTCCAAAATACCGTTGATAAGTATAATCAAATACCTGCGATAGACGGCTCTCGTAAATTTCATATTTTCATATTCCGTACTAACACCAAGTATATAATAAAGCAGTTGTATATAGGTATATTGTTATACATACATTCAAACTTATGACATGAGACCTACAAATCACAACGAACTTTTAATATCTTCTTGAAATGAATACGCATTCAGGAATCTAAAACATAAAATTTAATAAGAAATTTAATAAGGAATCCAAAACATAAATGTATTAGGGTTACGATGTTATTGAAGAATATCATTGAATTATTTTTGACGTAGCGAATGTAAGATATTTTAAAGAAGAATGTGGGTCAGGCACACAGAAACACTTTCATAAAACGTTTTCCTCAAACAGTAGCTAAGACTTGAGTCTTTATGTTTTATATGTGCGTTGCTATTCCACTGAAATGGAGTCTAACATTTTCATTATGACTCCGCGTGTTCTTTTTATTTTTTGACCTGAGACAATTCAGGGAGGGTACATAGACACGGACGCGGATTGTTAAGAAACAGAAGAATTATTTCGGTATCAAAGACGAATGATAAAACGATAAATATTTTAAGTCAATAACAAATAATCAAATTTTTAAATAAGGGTTGTAATATTTTTATAAATGGTCAACTACGCTACAATTACTCATACTACTTGTCCATGCAGGATTTTACCCAAGCTTGGGTGGCGCATAATTGTCCCTCCAGCTGTTTTTAGTAACTCGCATAATGTACTGTGTGGATATTTGTAATATCACGCTAATATGGCACGTTTGCGGGTCTTGATGCTTTTTTACGTTCTCTTAAATTCGGTACAGTCAGAGTGACAAAAAAATAGAATATTAATTATTAAAGAAAAATTAGCGGCAATCTCAATTTTGCAAGAATTTCAAAACTTTTTCGAATCGATGGACAAAGTAGGCCTGAATTTGCAATATTAGCAAAATATTTAGGCACTATTCACTGGTACATGAATGTGGGCTTATTATAACTTTATGCTAAATAATTATGTGGTTCTCTCACTTTATTTACGACTGGAATCTCTCGGGTCTATAGTTGCCAACCGAAGTTGCGGGCCCCAAGGGAAAGACATAATAAATGTCTGGAAAGTTTCTTTCACATCAGGTCGTAGACTCATTTGCGACATTTTAACATTTTAAAATGGCATGATGTTTTTTTTAAAGTACATAATATACGATAAGAATATACATATATGAATATCTTTTCATCTAATTACTTATGACCGACGTAGCAAATCCCTACTAGTCATCAGTAGCGGTTCTCGTCACAACATTCAATCTTTATATACTCGCAATTACCAGCGGACCCGTTGTCCGAACAGACGTACTGTACACACACGACCTAAATTCTAAAACAACTTATAATTAAAAAAAAAATGTTTAAAAAGATTTTACAGTGGACCGAATCGTAAATCTAAACCATTCTGGAAAGCACTTGAAGAAGCACAAAAAATTTCATTAAAATCGGTCCAGCCGTTTAAGAGGAGTTTAGTGATATACGCACGTACAGAAGAATTGTATATATAAAGATATATTGTACTATTTCCCACACTCTTTTCAATACAATAACATTATTCAATGCCGCGTTAGTTTATCCATGCTTCAGCTTCACAACCATCGATGTCCACATCACCGGTCCCGACCGCGGTGGTCTCTTCCAGTTACGACAAGAAGCAGGACGTATCGAGTGTCAGAGTGAACACGGAAGCACTTTCCGTCTTCAACATCTGATTTCGCGGTAACGCGAATACATTCGAAGGTTCGAAACGATAATGTCGAAGAAATGGGACAGTCATAATAAATTCGACCCTGACTTTTTTTTTCGTACTCTGCATAGTTTTCTCTAAGATTATTAAAAAAGTCAAAACCATTCAATATATTTGATCATAATTATGAAGCTTTCAGAATTTTTTTAATATACCATAGTATGTACACTATAATCTTAATTTAAATTTAAAATTTAGACTAATTTTTTGCGCAAACTTCTCGAACGTTCGACGATCGGCAATCCCTTTTGTAAGGGATAAAAAGCTGTGTTAAGGATGATTAGTAGCGTAGTTGCTGAACTAGTGGCTTCGGCGAGTTTGTTTACAAGCAGGATTGATGGCAAGCAAGCGGCCGGTCATAAAAACCTAGCCAATAATAGCACTAACAACATTTGGGCCGATAGGTGGGATAAGGACAGTAATAAGAAAAAAAGCTGGGGTTGGACCAGAATCATACTGTCTTCAGCTGTTGCACGAATGGGTAGGCTTGTCTGGGGAAGCACCGCGGTCTCAAAGAAGGCTGGCATGTAGTGACAAAATTGTACTCATAAGTTTCGTCTATACGTACGGTCACTGTTTACAAGTTGGCAACGCGTTTGCAACACATGTATCGTAGACATCCATAGGCGGAGGTAATCACTCAACGCCGGGTGAACCGTCTACCCGTTTGCCAATTTCTCTCATGAAAAAAGAAAACTATTTCGACACACTGTAGGATTTTCACACGTAGGATGCAATGTATTCTGCGGTAGTAGTCATTCCTCCGTTACTAATCTTGTAAGTATCGATAGCGCTGTCGTGATTCTTTTCAAACCGGTACTCGAGTGATTTATCTAAGTAGCTTAATATATGTTAACTACTTGCATATGACGTGTACACTTCATGTATTCTAAAAGTAATAAACAACGAATACACAATGGCGTATCACGATATTTCTCGACCAGGAAATAAAGTGGTCCTTGCTAAATTCAATAACGTTTGTGAACCTTGAATAAGGTTTGGTTTCTTAATATAAATAACGCTTTAGTTAACATAAAGATGGTAAAAATCCATTATAAAGGAATGTTTAATATACGTGGGACAAATTTCGCCTCTCTGGGTTTACTGTATACTTTGATAAAATGCCAACGATGAAATAATGGCGGAATCATGGCGATAAAAAAATTAACTTCGAATTGTTTTCGACGTCTATATATTTGTTTTCGTCTGTTATTTTTTGTACTCTGATTATTTTAAATATTGTCGAATTGATTTCTGTTTACATAACTATCTTTTTAATTTTCAATTTAACGTTCAAGTAATAAAATTATCATGACAGTGCCAAATCGCCTTTCGTGCTAATAATTAGGTCTCGTTTGATAGTTGGAAGTCAATTAGCAATGTTGTGTGCGAGTCTAAAGAAAAGTGAACAATTCATTTGAAAACATTCGCGCTCTCGCCCTGTTAGCCGTGCTCCCATTAAGAATAACACTCCGGTAGACAATACTCGTCCTGGTTTAAAACAAACAATACAGTTTACGTAACACGCGGAGCTGATTATTTGTTAACATACAAATATTTTAATTTATATACATATATTTCATGGAAAAGCGTACAATGTGTTTACGATAAACAAAAGTTTTCCTACGTTATTCCATCCGCAAGTTTTGTGGTCTATACTTTAGACTGACTATAGTATGAGACCGCTATAGAACGCGCACCATATTGTAGCAATAGACTGTCAGCGACAATGTAACATTGGCATATGACATTTTAAATGTAAAGCTTTGTTGCTGGAATGGGCAAGCTCCGCCGGGAAAGTAACTTGGCCTCACAAAAGTATATTCATATAAAATAGTATATTCTCCTTTTAGACATCTGTGTGAAAGGAGAATTAATACTTTTGTGTTTCATCTGGTGAGTAATTTAACGGGAACCCACTTTTTAAATGTTGGAAATGTAACTGGAACTGATCTGTTATTGTAATGTCTATGGGCGGTAGTGTTATTACTTAATACTAGGTGGAAATCAGTTAATTAGGTAAACCGTCAGCCAAGCTATTAACGTCAAAGAAAACTTCGTTACTATGTGTGAAATGTCGTCATAAAAGGAAATTTCATTAATCGTTGTTATTACTAGTTATTTTATTTGACAGAACGAACAGTAATTATAATAATTAATATGTTACATAGATATGTGACAAAATAAACTTTGAATTGGCGAGAATTATTTATTTTGAAAAACCTGATCGTCTGCGTTATTGACTGCAGTTGTCTCTGGTTTTTGTTACTCACAACACCTTACCATTTTTTCGATTTTACCCCAACGTTGCGTTAGGCTACGCGTTATGTTTCAGTGTGCTAATGATATCAGAGTTCGTAAGATCATTATAGAATGGCCTTTCGTTGCTACTGTTTATTAAAACTTGTAGAAAAAGTACGAAAAGATTGTCGCCGCTGTGGGAATCGAACCCACATCTTCGGCATTTGCGGCCTGACGCTTTAGCCACTCAGCTAAACGGCTGATTGCCACACCGACGAAAATCTTAACGTCTTTTATCTACATTGTTATTTAGTATTTATGTTCATTATCGTATCTATTATAGCATTCAAACACTGTTACTGTATTATACTGTTTATTGTTTAACATAACTTGTTTGAATATCATAAAACTACCACCGAACCATATTAAAGACAATAAAACCGCATTAAATTAATTGTTTATTTCTTATTAGGTATGTAGGTTTTAGATGAACATAGATCAAATCAATGTTACTCCATTTAATTGCATCATTCCTACGGAAACTATATATTTATTTATTTATTAAATCTTTTACTTATTTATTTATTTATTAAAGCTTTATTTATTTATTTATAAATGAACACACGTCTAACGCTACTTGCCAATAATTCAGGTTTAATGCGGTCGGGTTTTTTATACTGTTTCTTAAATGATTTAAAGTTTAGTATTAATAATATATAATCCATCGATCTGGTAAAAAAATCTGTACTATACTGATATATAAATATATGAGATGATGCTTATCATACTTGTTCTGTTTTTAACATTTTTATGTATCATTTTTATAAGTATCGGCGAGTACCGTCTTTTAGACTTATATTAAAATTTAAGTTTGTGTATCACGCAAGTATGCCATATAAACATTCAGGCAGAATGTATTTCACTAAATGTTTGAGTTGAGGTATGGCTGCTATCCTCAAGTTTGACGAAACTGGCGACTAACAAGCTCGCTTGTTACTGTTCTGCCACACGTAGTTTGCCGCGCCCCGGCAGTTTTGCTACTTTTTCAGCGTTCAAGGCAATTTGTCATTATGCTATCTAGAATTTAGCACGCCCCGTGATCGTAGACATACAAAAAGGCTAATGCGGTGCCGTCGTCTTTTTATCTTTCGTGCATTAGTTGCAAGCGCTAAAAGACATTTCTTGCGACGATTGCACAACGCGCCGGTCGCTGCGGATTATCCACGAACAATTTAGTTTTTTTTTTATCGAAATATAAATCATATCGCAGACGTCGCAATCTAAGGGCGTTTCTGGAGCTGGCCATTTAATGGAGCTATATCGAGGGAAGCGATTATCGCCTGACGGCCTACGCTTTCCGCCCCCGTTCTGCGCTAAAGGGTTTTTCGGAATCATTCCTCGTTGAATGTAGTTTACGAGCAGCCTCGAAGTTTATGCGGACAAAAAAAAAGAGATGCTGCTTTTTTTTTTTTAAATATACTATTGTTAAGGTTAAAGATTGGCTAATATCTTGGTCAGTAAATTTCAGCGTTTTCTCATATGATTTTCTGTTTAATATTGTAAATGAAAACCTGATTGTTTACCGCTGTTATTATTAACCCTTCTAAATAATGACTTAACAAAATTATATGTTATATGCTCTACTTTTTTTTTTATCCTGTTTCATTCAAAGCAGTAGACGAATAATGTCTATTTATTTGAAACACACAATTCCTCAAATATTGTGTAATGTGGGATATACGAAATAATATATAGGTACTAAATAATGTCTTACTAGCACTAGGAACTAGGATTACATTCTTTGTCAAATTTTAACCTTTTGTTAAAAAGTATCATTTATATTTGCTACACGTTTCTTTGATGTTTTTTAAACCAGCACCACGGCGCATTATTTTATATTTTGGAATCCGATTACATCATCTTTATTAAACAACAATTTGTCTCATTCATTCCTGAAATATAAGTTTATTGTTTAATAAAGAAATTATATATTATATAGGATGATCGTAAAAAACTTTTTCATTTCGCCGCTTGGGGGCTATGTGATTTGTTCATTGGTGTTATATTTTCAGGTATCGAATACCTATACGAGAACGGGCTTCTGCAAAGGACACCCGAGGACGTTGCGCAGTTCCTTCACAAAGGCGAAGGTCTGAGCAAAACTGCCATCGGTGACTACTTGGGCGAGAGGTCGGATTTCAACGAGGCCGTGCTGCGGGCCTTCGTGGAGTTGCACGATTTCACGGACCTAATATTGGTGCAAGCGCTAAGGTACGGATTGAGCCTAATTACCACAACCGAATACCGAAGTTACCCCGTATTTTAAATTTTTTACTTATCTTAATCTTCATGTATTGTCCGAACCGCGTAAAAATGTACTCAACATTTCGCATCACATGCCGAGTTATTTGTATAGGTTTTAGAAAAACACGTGAATTAATTGCTCGTGGATTGTTTACCGTTACTACAAATGTTGTTAAATATTTATTTAGGATCGTTTTTTATAGTTTTCCTAACAATTCTATTAAATACTTTCTAATGCTATAAATATGTTGCATCAGTTGTAGAAACAAATGAAAGAATCAATAGAAATGTAAAGCCGAAAGAGAGAATGTATTGATTTTTTTTCTCTCTTTTATCTTCTGTATGTTGCTAGTCAACATTGTTATCAATGTTGGTAGCGCCTGTTTATTTTTTGCCGAGTGCCTATTGCTTTTCCGAGAATACGAGATGATGTTTGTTTTAGATTACGCAAATGGTATTACCATTTATCAAGTTGTTTGTGCGTTCAATGAGATGTATCGCCTAAGGAACGAACCATTGCTACATATTTGAAATTTTTAATAGATAATATGTACGTTAAAAATAAGTATTTTGAGTGTACCGTTGTCTACAGAATAGTATAAAGGCACTGTTAGATAGAGTGTAGGCTTCAAGGCGACTTCTTATCATGTAGATCGTTTTTATTAAGCTATAGCAGTCTGTTAATACAATGCACTGCTTCACAAAAGAGCAGCGTGTAGTAAAAGTATTTGTACTGTCTGATGCATCCGGTCAGTGAGGTCAACAATACCCTCGGGTATTGTGAATGTACATTGGACTGTTGTAATCACTTAACATCAGCTTTGCCGCTATTTTTCTACCTTCTATCTGAAATAAAGTTATTTCCTCGTGTATTTTAATATTTAAAAATAGAACATACGATGACTTCTTGTCAAAAAACCGATCGAATTGGTGGGGTACATAGTCGCCCTGGGCCCCTTTAGTGTTTTTTGTTTTTAGTCCTTTTTTCGATGATTTTTCATTCCTTTTGCGAGACACTGCAACAATGTTCGAGCAGGAATTCGTTTGGCGTGACGTCCAAACAACAGAAGTCACAATCAACGCCCGTGCAAGTCGATATCGTGCAATGCAGATGATTACCCTGTTTTTACAATGAGAGACCTGCTATACGTGCTTACTTTGGGAAGCAATGCCGTGTGTAAATGTAAATTATATACATCAACAGTACTTTATGCTACATGTGTAGTACTTGGGAGTATCTTGAGGAATGATTATTGTTAGGTATTCAATTTCTACTCATTTTATTTTGAACTATGATAAATTATAAACGAAATGTAGTTTGTATATTTCTAAACTTTTCGCTGAAAGCTTATCAGTGCTTATGTTGCAATAATCTCCAACCATGTTGATGCTAATCCTTTTATGTCGTGTACTTAACAAATGTTGGATATACGCTTGTATATAATACTTTACTTGCATAAACTTTCAACGATTAAAATGATATTGTGTTATTTCCTTATAATTGTGTATTTAAATATTATTTATTTAACTTTATGGACTCAATTACCGCCACAATGGCATAATTTGCAGTAAAGAGTAAATCTGAATTATTGAAACGAGTCAAATTTATCGTCGTTTTGAAAATTTTTCGACACTATAAACTTATGAAATAATATTTGCATGTAATTTCCAATAGTTTTTACTTTTAGTTTTACTCTTTTTTGTATAATAAAAACTGGCATAAGTTTTTACAACTCATGAATGTTTTAGCCCTAATGCCGAAAGAACATATTTAAGTACCTATCTGTCATTAATCATCAACATATTAAATCTATTTTATATAACTAAAACGCTTTACTTTCAGGTATGCAATTGGCATGCCTTTTTAAATAAAAATAAATAGATGAAGCTCACATTTACAGTAACATTCCATGAACAACGCGGTTTATTCTACAGTTTATTCAAAGCAATATGGTTAGCAATCGATACTTTTACGGGTTTCCCCCAATTTAGTCACAATAATACGTGTTCTCGGTGTATCCTGTTTGCGTTCTGAAGTTAGCATGGGTTGTTTTAAACAGAACAATAAAATATTATTGTTCCATTTGCTTTGTGCCTTTTCACCCTACTGCCGAAAGTGGGTAATGCTTTTCTGGAATGTACACGTATGTATGTACGTACATTTCCGTGTAGTCCAAACTGTTTAACGGATAATAACATAAGATGTCTTAAATACTTACTTTCATATATAAATATATATATATATATATATATATATATATATATATATATAGATATATATATATATATATATATATACACCCACACATATATATATATATATACATACATACATACATACAATAGTGTTTAAATTTTTTATTTAAATCCTTATAATTTATGTTGCCTTGTTTCTGAAGGAGACCTATCGATTGCAAAAGCACGTATAATTTAAATTGAAAGTATTTTATGATTTTATATAAGCCGGAGATTGGAATTACTAAGGTGAAACTTCGACGTTTGTAAGTATTAGTCTCATTCGACTTTCTTTTAACACAGTAAGTTTTATTGCTAAAGTTTAATGACGAAACAATTTTATGTCTCAGTTTAATTGCAAACGAAACGAGTACTTGCCTTCTCTCACATTGATTCCGTATTTTGTTCAAAATCAACGTCAACGTTTTCATTAATCAATATAAGTTTGTTTCAAGCCTTTATAAACGTTGAATTCCAGCAGTGTCTCATCGATCTTTAATAAAATCAAAAACCGGTTTAATATATGCTGCAACGTATATGACATAGTTAAAGATGCCACGAAGCTCATAACTCTCTACTTCCGGATTCGTTTTGAGCAGAATAGTATGGTTCTTAAATAAACCTCCTTAACAGACGGTCCGCGACATGCATTGATGCTGTTAAGCTTATCAAATATACACACAAAAGCTTAATAGGAATATTAATGTGGTAAGGCCACCTTAACGTGGTAGGGCGACATAACAGTCTTCGCTGTTGCACGAATTATCAAGAACTCATAGAACGGAAATGTTACACTTCTGCGTTTCGTCTGGCGAGTGAGGTAACCAGAACCCAATTTATTAAAAGGTGGCAACGCGTCTGCAACCCTACGCGGGTGGCAAATGTCCATAGGCGGCGGTTATCACTTGACATCAGTTGAGCTGCCAGCTCGCTTGCCACCATCTCACATAAAAACCTATATCGATCTTAAACCCCATAACAATACCTTTGAAATAATTTATTTTACCGGTGCGTGTACTCCCGAAATCTGAACAATCGTTCACCTAACCTGTACGGTAATGTATTTGCCACAGTAGCCGTGACTCAGGCGCCCTTTGTTTAACGAGGTTCATGTCGCTATCAATAACAGTTAATGAATTTTTACTCAAAACCCAATTGGCATTGTCAACGTTGACTCACGTTCGGAAGTATACGCCTCTGCATTCCGCGGCGAGTTGATAACACAATCATAATGAAATAACAAACAATGTCAATTCAAAAGTTATGTTTTAGTGTTTAAATTGACGATAGTCACGGTGGAAAGGATTTTAACGAATTACAAAAAACATTAATTTTTATACATATATTTTAAAGTGCAAGCTACAATATCCCTTAGGTCAAGTCTCTTTTATGTACAACAGTTACAATAATTGTGTAAAAACTATATACTTGCTATTAGAACATTATAATTTAATTTATATGGCTTGGCCCCAATTTCATGTCTAACCGAACATGAACTTGGTAATTTAGCCCCAGTATCCGGGCGCTCATTTTTGAATTCTCAATACACAAACTACTTGAGCTTAATTTCCGGCAGTCGCACCCGCTATGGATTGGCGGACTTCATACACTTTTGGAATATTTTTTTGTTTAGTATTATTTCGATTTTCTCACGAAAACTTTTTGTCACTTATGACGTGCTCAGCGGTGAAGGAAAACTCTTAGTGAGCACTGAAAATTATCAATTTCACTGGTGCTGGGTTTCCAAGCGTTTTTTTGTTCGATGTTACAAAAAGCAACACCCTTTAAATCGTTATGCGCTCTTCAAAGCAGATCCTATGTACACCCCGTTACTATAGTTTTTATTACGAAAGCAATGCAGCTCCTGTGTAAGCTCTCGCTATAGCTGTTATCACGAAAACATTTCGTAGGGCCACGCAGCCTCGACTGTTGCACGAATGGGCAGGCTCGTCCGGGTAAGTACCACGACCTCACAGAAGACCGGCGTAAAGTGGAAGTATAATGCTTTCGCGTTTCGTTTGGTGAGTGAGCTGGCCCGAGCCCAATTTTCAAAAGGCTGTCAACGCATCTGGAACCCTCGGCTGTGGCAGATGTCCACGGGCGGCGGTATTCGCTTAACACCAGGTGAACCGTCTGCTCGCTTGGCAACTTTTCACATAAACAACCCCGCTCACCCCGAACCGGTGCGCGTCCACAGACAGTTCCTCTGGAGCTTCCGGCTGCCCGGCGAGGCGCAGAAGATAGACCGCATGATGGAGTGCTTCGCGCAGCGCTACTGCCAGCTCAACCCGGACATATTCACGAACGCGGACACGTGCTACGTGCTCAGCTTCGCCATCATCATGCTGAACACCTCGCTGCACAACCCCAGCGTGAAGGACAAACCGTCGCCCGAGCAGTTCGTCGCGATGAACCGCGGGATAAACAACGGCGGCGACCTGCCGCACGAGTTGCTCTTGGTGCGTACCGTGTTACCTATTAAAGTTGTAGGAAAATGGACGAAAAATGTTTCGCTCAGACGGAATCGAACCCTTAAAGCAAACCTATTGTGATTGGCTGAAATTCATTAAACGATTCTGCTGCCTTCCTTTTGACATAAGAATTCTCTATGCACAGTTACTAGATTTTAACCTATAACTGTTTGTAATGATTATAGGAGTAAAAGAAAACATCGTGAGATAAATATATGGTACTTTTTCTTTTTAGTTAAGCGCTCGGTGTTGTTGGATCCGATCCTCAATTCCCCATACTGGTTCGGTTAGCCTTTTTCCAGTGTGAATTAAGAAGTATTCGCTTGTGCGGTTATTTGTTTTTTCTTGAATGGAGTTAAGTTTTTACTGAGCTTAACGTGATCAATTTGAATTTTGATTTCAAGGTTTTTATTAAAATTTCTCTGTAGCGGTAAAAACACGTTCGGCGTTTAGTTAGTCTTTGATTTCTATATCTATTAATTCTCCAAGATATTTTTGTGGGAACGCCGTACATTCATCAAATTACTGAACTATAATAAATCATCAAATTTAATGATTTCCAACACTATTTTGAAGTTTAAACAAGCGGTTAGACGAAATATAGTCAATTCGAATAATATTACTATATCCATAAAAGCACTTTCGTTCAAAAATTTCTTATAAAGAATGTATGATAATGCCTTCTATTGACAATTTGTATTTACACATTATTATAATATTATCACGTCGCTCGAAAATTTCGCGCCAACACTATCAAAGGCAAAAAAATTGTTTCGTCAAAAAGTCCATATTTTTTCTTTCTCCCTCGCCTCTGCCAACGAGGTTGGGCTGGATGGCTGGCTGCTAATAAAACTATGAATATTAAAATGATATTATCAATGCAAAATATTGCGACTTCGTTCAATCTTTAAGTCTCAACGGTGTTATAGGTTTCAAAGAAAACTAGAATTATCCTCATTAAATAAGCCAGAGTAATACCTAAGACCCTTTATTATGTAGTTATGGAATAGAATATTTTGACGCTCTAATCGCGGGTCGGAGCTAGTAATTTGATAAGTTCGAAATTGTTGTCTTTGATGATTAGTGCGTAAAGGTGCGCCTGCAATGAAATGCGTGTAACAACATCCGTGCTTCGTACACGTTAGCATGCAACACGCGCGTGTATTAATTGATAAATAAATGAGTTTGTTTTACAATACTCTGGGCACGTATATAACTAACGAAAGGGTTGATTAATAAAAGAAGATCGGGTTTCCATTATAAAAAATATTTCTTAGTGGTCGAACCTTTCCCATCTAATATTAACCAAAAACTTAGAACAGTATTCTTTTTTTTTTTTAGTTTTTTTTTCTCCTCAACATTTTTGAGGTTCTTATATCGTTTTGTTATATAAAATGTTTTCGACCCGTACTTATTTTATTTCGTAATACCAAGAAATATTTAGGAATTAAACTCCATTGTCTTAAATACGAAAGCTTTGCTTTGCTTTTCCCTTAAAAAATCATCCATTTAGTTAACACGAATAACATGGCGGGAACAATTTAAGATAGTAAAGTTGACGAATCAACATTCTAAATTATAATTAACAACATCAACGGTTACGATCTTAAGTGGTGCGCGTATCGAAGCAATTAGGAATCTTAGTCTGTTTCAGTTCGAATACGCAACTATATATATACTTCATAAACTATCTTATTTATGTGAAAAGGTAAGGTAGCATGTAGTTAACCCGATGTTAAGTGAATACCGCCGCCCATGGACACCTAAAACTCCTGTCGGATGCTTGCTCGACTTTTATAAGAATGGGCCTCAGTCCTAAGTCGAAAGGCAACAGTATCTCTTATGTTGCAATGACCTTTATTTCACGTCAACCCGTTCGACCTTTGCGTGCCTTAAATTCTCGATTACGAGTTACTTATTTGTTTTTAACTGTTTTTAATTAAACCGATGCGTCTGTCGCGAACTTTAACCGCGCTGACGTCAAAGCGACAATGTAAACAGAGTTGATAGGCGCTGTTCGGTTAAGTGTCGCCTTATCTGCTCACAAACCGCCTTCGATAACGCGTGCGTGACATAAATCGAATCGTACGACGACGGTCGAGTCGTCTCCACGCTACGTATTTTGCTCTGCATTACATCGTTTGTTCTTCGTCGTTGTTCTAGAACTTGTTCTTCGTCATTGTTCTAGAACATTTGTTCTTCATCAATCGTGCTTGATCATTTTCTTCGTCTTTAACAATTGCAGTCATTATACGAGTCTATAAAGACGGAGCCTTTCAAGATTCCGGAGGACGACGGGAATGACCTCATGCACACCTTCTTCAATCCCGACAAGGAGGGTTGGCTGTGGAAGCAAGGTGGCAGGTGAGCGTTCATCGAGTTGTGTTATATTTAGAACTGGGACTATTATGGTTGATTACATATAATTGTATAATAGCAACAGTGAGTGACTGATTACCAAGGATTTCCATGGCGGACTTTATTTATTTATTTAAATTATTTATATTAACATTTCGGTAAATATGTTTTGATGCATTTTTATGATGAATTCTTTTTAGCATTGAATACTGTGCGATACTAAATAGAAGTATTTTACGGATTTTATCAATTTTTAGATAGAAAATAATTGTGAAATAGTTTTATTTTATAATTATTGAATTAGATCTCAGCCAGATGATAACTGCGTTGTCATATCACTCAAAATAGCCTGGTGACAGACGGACAGACAGACATATAGCGGAGTCTTAGTAATAGGGTCCTGTTTTACCCTTTGGGCACGGAACTCTTAATAAGAAGAGATAGAGGTTTTTAATTAGACAAAGTTTGATATTATTCTATACTTTTCATTGATTTCAAGCTTTATGTAATTTTCTTTACATATTGAATAATTAAATACGTTTCAAATTTCAGATACAAGTCATGGAAGAGACGCTGGTTTATACTGAACGATAACTGCCTGTACTACTTCGAATATACTACGGACAAAGAGCCTAGAGGGATCATTCCATTAGAAAATATATCTGTGAGTATTAATCATTTCATCATTCTCTTAAATCACTCATAGAGATCATACCTTTGGATTTGATAGGGTTTTTGAAACGTCTTAAGCAACAGCAAGCTACTTCTGCCTATCGTTTTAGAGTAAAATGCATGAGGGGCTTGCATATGATAAAGTGTGACAGAGTGCTAAATTACGTGTTACTTGTTTCCTTATCTTTTAAAATCCTATGCGTCGTCATAAATGCACACAAACCGAGGAACGCATAGGTTTATTGAGGCATTACAGCTTGTCCTTGAGGCATCGTGCAAGAGTTGAACCCACTACCGCTGGCCGGTGCCTATGACACTGTACCAAGTGGGTTAACGTGCAATAAACTGTATATAAAATTTAATAAGTTAAAAACAAGCCTCTTTAATATTTGAACTAGTGTCCGGTACGAAAGTTAGGTTTCGGTTTCGGTCGAGTTTCGGCAAAAAAACTAGTTTCGGTTTCGGTCGAGTTTCGGCATAAAAAAATAGTTTCGGTTTCGGTCGAGTTTCGGCATAAAAACTAGTTTCGGTTTCGGTCGAGTTTCGGCATAAAAACTAGTTTCGGTTTCGGTCGAGTTTCGGCATAAAAACTAGTTTCGGTTTCGGTCGAGTTTCGGCATAAAAACTAGTTTCGGTTTCGGTCGAGTTTCGGCATAAAAACTAGTTTCGGTTTCGGTCGAGTTTCGGCATAAAAACTAGTTTCGGTTTCGGTCGAGTTTCGGCATAAAAACTAGTTTCGGTTTCGGTCGAGTTTCGGCAAAAAAAATAGTTTCGGTTTCGGTCGAGTTTCGGCATAAAAACTAGTTTCGGTTTCGGTCGAGTTTCGGCATAAAAACTAGTTTCGGTTTCGGTCGAGTTTCGGCATAAAAACTAGTTTCGGTTTCGGCGCCTAACCTGCCGAAACTACGACCGAAACCGAAACTGCATTCGGGAGTTTTCGCTATGATCGCTCATAATCAGCGCGGTAAATTCCATCGATGCAAGCAAGCAAAGAAGAAGAGAGAAGCGATGGGTTTTTTCCTCGATATTGATTCATGTTCGTCAACTAGTTAATTTCGAGAGCTAGCCAATGTGATGCTGTCAAATTGCATTAATGAACGGATTTTCTTGGACGCTGTGACGTTCAACGAGTCTAAACCGTCCTTCAGCTGACTAATTAATATTATACACTTAATGCAATTACAAATTAATAGATTTAGAAAAAAAGACACCTTAAGCATCAAGTAAAATTCTGATAATATTTATGATAAGCCGAAAAATAATCTCTGACCTTACGTTCACAAATTCTCACACAAAAGCGTGGCACTATAATTCTTTTCAGCTTTTATATTTTTGCTTTTTTTTACTGAAGGTCATGAAAATGACTAAAAAATTTAGAAGAACTTAATTTGTTCTTAAGATAATAGTGATTTATTTTCTTTTGTTTTTTACTTAAATATTTAATCTGTTCCTGTTGCGGTATTAGGCTATTAGGTCAACTTAAATAGGTAATTTTGTGTTTATTTAAAATAACCATGAATATTCAAAAGCAGAATCTAACTACTCAAATAAACCTATTTTAAGTCTTTTTAAGGCGCAATTAATATTTTTTTCTTAAATGGAGTTGTTATGTTGATTATCATACCAATAAGTGAAAATGTGGAAGACATGCAGTCTTCCTGTAACTATATGATAAAGAGATATTTATTTTTTCCTCAAAACATGATCCTTTTATAGAAGTTTCGGTTTCGGTCGTAAAAACCAGTTTCGGTCGGACTTGTCGGTCACTAACTTGAACATTTTTGAGGAAACCCATAGTATACAGCGTGTCGATACTATCGCGACAATAAATGAGACGACACACGTCTAACGCTATTTGCCAATAATCATAAAAAATATTTACGTTAAAAAAATCCATAATAAAAAAAAATATTTTTCATTCAAACTAATTAAGTAAAAAAGAAACAAAATTTGTAACAACTACAACTGACTGATTCATACATTAAGAGACTTTTTCATTCGTTACCACAGCATCGCATTACAAGCCTCTCCTTCTAACAGTATGTTTTGTCTCTTTTAAATTCATTCAACCCATTCATATGCTTTGTGACCTTTACAAATGAACTTTACGTTATAGTTTTATACGTAAGGCTGTTCTAAAATTATTTCTTTTGAAAAATTTAATAACTCTGTAAATATTGATGTTTAACGAATGTAAATGTTTAATACAATTTTAAAAAGTTATCCTCTATTAGTGTGTCCTCTAAAGGAAAAAAAATATTTGAAGATATATGAAGTCTGCCTATCCGCAGTGGGGTTGTGTGCTACCCCCCAATGCCCTCTGTATAGAGAAGACCTTTGCCCAGCAGTGCGACATTTATAAGTGAGCATTTTACGTAAAGTGACACTTACGTAAAACCTTGAAGCCTCCTTAAATCGTATGAAAAGCAGCGCGATAGACTTTGAACAGGTCGCGGTAGAATGGGGAGTGATTAACCGATTTGTACACATTACGTAAAACTCGAAACAACTAAACTGTATGTAGTTGAATTTGAACAGGTCGCGGTAGAATGGGGAGTGATTAACCGATTTGTACACTTTACGTAAACCTCGAAACAACTAAACTGTGTATCGAATTTATTTTTAAGAGATCGCGATAGAGCGGGGAGCTGTGTTATGTTTGCAACCACTTGCAGGTGCGGCCGGCGAGCGACCGGCAGCGGCCCCACTGCCTGGAGCTGTACGCGAGCGGCGGCGCCGACCTGATCAAGGCCTGCAAGACCGACTCCGAGGGCAAGGTGGTCGAGGGGAAGCACACCGTCTACAGGTGCGCCGCCGTATACTCCATACATATCCGCCATATAGCTCTCATATCCACCTCGATAATTAATCTATGACCGATGACGAGATATGAACAAACGCATAAACGGGGGCAGGACACGATTTAAGCTCTTCTCAACCCCCCCCCCCCCCCCCCCCCCTCCCGCTCAGATGGTGGTCCGAACTTGGGCTGGTTCGCAATATATTTGACAATATATTTTTACAGTTCATACAAAAACTCACTTACTATGAAATTCCTGTAAACCATATGAAAATTGGCTTACCGGAGTTTCATATTAAGTGATCTATGTGAGGAATATAGGTTTGTGATGTTTTAAGGATATAATGCATTATTTTGTAAATAATGTCAAGAAAAATATAAATCGAAAATATGTCTAGTCTACCGGTACGCAGTGGGGTGGCTTGGTTTACTATTCCGTAATACTATCTGTACTAAGGGAGCCTTTGTCCAGAAGCCAGCAGCGATTCACCTGATGTTAAGTGATAACCGCCGGCCACGGACATTGCAAAACCGGTTGCAGATATGTTGCCACCTTTTAATAATGTGGGCCCCGGCTACCTCACTCACCAGACGAAACGCAGAAGTGTAAAAATTCTACTTTACGTCTTCTGTGAGGTCGTGGTACTAACCCGGACGGACCTGTCCATTCGTGCAACAGCGAATAGTGTTGCGAATGGGGGTTTAGCAAAAATCACGAAATATCACAAGGGGCTTTGTAGTGAGATATCACGTATTTTTTTTTATCCAACGCGCGATTTTTAAACTAAAAAGCAGCATTTGACCCTCCGCTGCCAGGATGATTTCCCCGCCCGGCAGAAAAAGGCTGTGTGGATATTTTTATCACGGTCCTTAATTTTCCAGAATTAAATTAGATAATACTCCAATGGCCGATCCCTTATGTAAAATTCGATGTCCAAGTAAGATATAATACGCTTTTAAAATCTAGTTTAGATTATCAATAAAGCAGTGGCTAGTCAAGAGAAACGGTTCAAAATTAAACATGACCAATGAGAATAACTTTACCTAGGGACAGTAACAACTTTATTAATGACAATTATCTTATCTGACACTAATTATACCGAAACTGTTTAAACTTATTCATTGGAACGACAAAATAAACACAAATAAATCATCTTTATACATAAGAATGAATCATAATATGATCGTCCTCAAGGCGACTCTTCTTCCATTCATCCTATTGTCATGAAACTTTGGCGAGTTGTTCTGTGTAGACTCGTGAAGATTCCTAACCAAATGCACCAACTAAAAATAAATAATTTTTTTTTCTTTTCCATTGCAACTCGATGAGTTGTGCTAGTATTAAATCTAAAGCTTTTTTACATTGAAACAATGTTATTATTGTGAAAAAAATATGTTGGTAACTTATCAAAGAAAAGTTTTCAAATTAGCTAACCAAGGCTGACCCGAGAAAGTGATAACAGTTATATTATTTATTATTATGATTTAATTTTATAAAATGTATCTTAGTTTTTATAAAAATGTAAATGGGAAAAAAACTAAGTTAATAATTAAGGGAATATTCTTATATTATTTTATATATTTGGTTATAAATAACATAAGAGTATTTATTTATTTCATGTCATACATAACATTAGTTGAAAAGGATAATATAAACAAAAATCTAAACAAACAAAATAATCAGTGCAACACGCATGATATATTTGGTACACATTTATAGTTCTTACTTATCTAAAAATGACTTCGATGTCGAATATGTTCTATTGTGTTGTTTTTTTTTCCAATATCTGAATTTCTCTTCCGCAGAATGTCGGCAGCCACTGCGGAGGAGAGGGACGAGTGGATCGAATGCCTCCGCCGCTCGATAAGCCACAACCCCTTCTACGACATGCTGGCGCAGCGCAAGAAGAAGGCCCAGCACAGCGTCCACTCGAGTTCACACTAGCACGTGCACTCGGCACAGAAACTGTGCTAGGATACATATCCACCTACGATCGAACACGTGTGTGACAGCAATGACAGTCCTGTGTTAATGATATGGATCCGATACGTTACCGTGTATCCCAAGGGACGCAAGACTTGATTCGTCGTCGCCGAAGCTGTAGGAGGCGGTTTGTGATAAATACTCCAAAATGGCATTCGTCCTTATAAATATTTTGTACAGTGTACGTGTAGTGAATTGTTCGAGGGAACGTATTGTAATCGATGTGTCCGAACAAATAATTGCTGGAAAAAGATCATTGTTTATGTATGAAGTGTATTGTTTTAGCTATGGTAATGGAAGCCAGAGAGGGGGAATATCTACATTGATTTCTGTTAAATGGATCATTATTTCAAAGGACTGCACTGGTTATTAAATGAATGGATAGATTTTATTGTTGAGGTAACTTAGTGACGTCTGCTTAGATATAATAAAAAATTAATTTCGTTCTTGTTACGATCACATTTTAAATTATTGGCCTTAGTAGAAATTTGCTTGAGAATTGTCCATGTACATAGAAAAGGAAGACTGACAACATAAAGATTTTAGGAAATTACTACCACGCTGAAAGATTTCTCACCACAACAGAGACTAACAAAGCAATATATTTGTTGTTTTTACTACTTTTTTCTGATTAGTTTCGAAGACAGATAAATAAATGAAAGTGTTGCAGTTGTTAAATGATTATTATCATTATAAAAATGAGAATCACACCTAGTACAGTCATATTAGTGACTTCCATAAAAAGTGCCTGATATACAAATACCATCATGATAAAGCTGATTAGTAAGAGATTTTTAGAAGTAACTTTTTTATATTGTTGAGGTTTTTAGGCTTTCGAGCGCATGCCGATTACAAGTCGATGGTCAAATTGTTATTCCTTGCTCCGGTCACCGTTTAATGTTGAATAGTATTCCGATATATTATTTAAAACATAAAATGTAACAAAAACTTTTTTAAGAAATAATTTTTTATAGGGTGTATGTAGTTGATTACGAAAAAAATTATTGTGAATCAAATAAATGATTTGGAGAGTACAATTTAAACAGAATTAAGTCTAAGTAATAGGCCGTATGACGAGGGATACATTTGACCAGAAAGCACCGCCTTACGTAGTCCCATGAAATGCCGTGAATTATGTCGAGGTGTAATATTGCGTACGATTTACAATTTTACAATAATTTGCAGTCTGTCGAGTGTTCATCGTTATTGATTAAAACTTTTTTTAGAAACATTTTATACGTGGTTAGGAATTTTATGTGATTTAAAGATAGCTTCTCATTGCCTTGACAATAATTTGTTTATATGGTTTGCCGGCTTTGTTGGCCTAACCTTTGTCGTATATGTTTTTATGTACAGTTAACTTAGTCTAAATATTTATTAATGAAAAGTATTACTTTACAGTAATGTATCATAAGTAGTATCGAATTAGTATAATTTTTGTTATAGTTTTATTATATCATATTGGGCCTCGCGCCTTTTTATAATTGTAAATACGGTTATCCTTTATAATAGTTGCGTTAAAAATTGACAATTAGTGCGACACGATTTTTTTATCTAATATATGCAATGATTAATTATCTTATGTATAGAATGATACAGAATTTTTTTTCGTTTGACATACTCTTACTGCCTTAGTCTTTTTGGGATGTTTCACATGATTATCAACTTTTACATTTGTTCATGGATTACTTTTTATTCGACAACCTTCACTAGATAAATATAATTATTTATTTTACACTTGAATACAGTTTTCATATACTGAATACAGTTTTCATCCTTTTATATATATTGTGTTATTATATGCATGCGAAAATGTCATGCCCGTATAATTTAGGATAATGTAAAAAGAAACGTTTGGTTATTTGTATCCGAAATCGCAGTAAATGATAATACGGTCGCCATATTTTATTTGTAAGTATGAAGTCTGTATTGAGATTGGAGTTCATTTTAGGGTTTAGTTACTGGGGAAATTGTTGTTTGCAGAAATTTGTATCCTTTATTAAATTTAAATTAAAATGAATGTCTTATTTCGTAATTTTCTCGTTTTGTCGATATTTGATACCAAAAGCGTCTTACGGTACGTGTGGCTGACCGAGATGATGGTTGACATTACATAAAGGATTATGTTATAATATAAATATTGTTAAAATTATATTAATTGAACATTGTCTTTTAGTTTATAACAGGTAAATTATTTTCTAGCAATAATTAAATGTCTTTTTTGGAATATTTTGCAATATTTATTTTATTAATATTTTTGGAATATTTAAGCTTCTCATAATCCTGTATTGTAAATTTACAACTGCGGTGTACTGTACAAAAATATTTTAAAGACACTATTGTGATCAAAAATCGCAAAAATGAATGATTGTAGCTATTATTTTTATATAAAAAATACATTTAAGCATATCTCTCGTGAGATAGAGCTATAATAATATAATTATTTAGTTTGTTTAAGTGTCATTATTAGTTTTGTAAATTTTGCACTGGAATTTTTTATTTATCTCATTTGTAATGATTCATATATGTGCATAATAATGGTGATGTAAATAATTTCATAAAAAACGAAATACATTAATATCTTTATTTATTGCCTTGTGAATTTCGATAGTCCCACCGTCACGTGACAAATAAGTGTTGCTACTTGTATCTATAGAACTAAAAAAAATATGCGTATTAAATATTATCTTTAAGCTATAAAAATTATGAAAAATAAAAAAAATGATATCAGGTAAATTAAATATAAATATATAGATTATACAACAAAGTTAAAACCATAGATTCCTTAGATCAGACTCTCAGAAGCTAAAGTAACCGGGATTTTGTTTACTATAAGCTCTGTAGTATGTCTTCTGTAAGTCATTTAAGTTAATTAAAAACTAATGTCTTATCGTAAATTTTTGATTTAATTATAAAAGGCATTTAATATATTTATCTCTATTATAAAACTTAACCAAGAACATCGCAGAAGAAACCTATTTTTAGTTTATAATAAAGGAACAATTTCCAATAGCATAAAGAAACGAATTTTCAAGCAGACAACCTTCGTTACTTAAGGAATTAAAAAAAAATGTTAGAATTGTTTCCGTTTTCGTTTGTATCTAGGACGATTTGTGCAAGCAAAATTAAATATAAACACTGTTGATTAATTTAACATTTAAGTTAAAACTTTATTAAATTACCGTGCAATAATTACGCACAATACGGGTACTTTATTATATTAAGATATTCAGGAACCAGTTACGTACATTTCCCCGTTAGTTGAATCGACCAGCCGTGAAGCGTCTGTTGGTTTCCTTTTCCGACGTCGGTGAAACGTTCGTTGCGTAAACGTTTTGCTGCAAAAACCGCGATTGTTTACACCTTGCACATATTGTAACAAGTACTTTGATGAGTAAGTATAAAACAGTGAAAAAAAAACTGAATGATTTAACGGTTTAATCGCGAGTTTGTTTCACCGATTTTATTTAAACAACTTGATGGTATGAATTGCAATAATTTGATTGAAAACTCAATAGCTTAGGTAGGCTGCTACCGTGAAAAGCTGTTAAATATAATTATCTTACCGTTTTTATTGCAATTTATTTTTTCTTTAAATACAGGATCTTATTTTTATTTAGCTTGGAAGCGACTGTGTCAATAAATGTATAAGTGGAGCTGTTTCATTTATTGAATCAAGAATTCATACACATTTATATTGATATTAATTTTTGATGATTATATTTTATATTGACAGACAATACACGCGTATAGACTGCTGTTATATAAATACCCTGCCTTTACAGGGGATCAGCTCACTATTCAGCAATCCATCATTCTACACTGTCTAAGTGTATATGGTTTTGATTAAATGTACCACATAATAACAAAAAAAAAACGTTAGTTATTTTTTTTTGGTCACGATACGACCTATATATTCCTACAATATCATTGTTCACATAACAGCACGAAATGTACATCCGATTCCGCATTATCAAATATGCAATATATGGCGATGCGGTGAGCATAATCTTAGAAACAGATGAAAGTTTTATACATTCTTCAAAGCAAGGCAACAATGAGGACTGTGCATAGTAAATACTTCAGTGTTTCAATTGTGCTAAAAGATGCTTGAGACCTAAACGAGTCTGCCTCTTTTTTATTGATTTTACTAGCTGCTGCCCGCGACTACGTCTGCGTAGAGGGGTGAAAATTTTGGGTTATATTTTTGTATCCTGTATCATAAAAAAATTAAAACAAAAAATTTTATATAAAAAATAAAAAAAAAATGTGGATCACCCTTAACATTTAGGGGGATGGAAAATAGATGTCCGATTCTCCATCCTGGCCGATTTCACGAAAATCGGTGGAGCCGTTTCGGAGGAGTTCAATTACAAACACCGTGGCACGAGAATTTTATGAATTATGTCTATACATTTAAAATTTAATTTAAAATTGCGAAAATTACTGTGGTAGGGCAGCACAACATCTTCTGCTGTTGGACGAATGGGCAGGTCCGTTCGGCTAAGTCCACGGCCTCACAGAATACCGGCGTGAAGTGGAAATGTCATACTTCTGCGTTTCGTCTGGTGAGAGAGGTAGCCGGGGCTCACTTTATTAAAAGTTGGCAACGTATTTGCATTCCCACGGGTATTGCAAATGTCCATGGGTGGCGTGGCGGTTATAACTTAACATCAGGTTAACCATTAGCTCATGTTGTGATTTTATTTTATGCATAAAAAATGCATGAAAATTCATTTTCTTTTATTTAAGTCATGAAGACGAAGAAATGGCATTCACATTAGAACTTTATCAGTAACCATATGTTGATACTATAAAATTCTCGAAATATGCGTCATGCCCCATGTCTTGAATGTTCTTTAATGCCCAATCTATTAAAAGGGCAAGTTGATTGGCTTCATATGCATATATATTAATTTTTTTTTGGAATGAATTTCATGTGTTGATTATAGAATTCT